TTATGTTCCTATTAAAGTAATGAATAAATAATTATGTCCCTTCAAAAGGAACATAATTGATCTGTGAAATTTTATATACTAAATAGTTTAGGTATCCATTCTTAGCTATTATTTTTTTCCCAGTCTATAAATTTGATGCATTTGTATTTCCATCTTTCTTGTAGTTTGTTTAGTAAGCAATTGTGGATGGCTTTGATAGTTTCTTTGTATACTTCTGGTTGTAGGTGTTTTTTGATTGTATTGATTAGATCATTGGTTTTTGCTTCTCTTATTATATAGTCTTTGATTTCTTAGGTCCATGTCTGTTGCTGTTTTTTGATTTCTTTATCTAACTTGTGTTTTATTTTTTTTTTTTTGTTCTGCTACCTACTTCTTTATTGATTATTTGTTTGAGCTTTGTAAAGATATCTTCTTGGTGCTGTTTGCATGTCATTACGTATATATTGGTTTTTGTCTATTTGCAATGTATACACTGGTTATCAGTATATGTCTGTGCTAATTTTTTGTATAGGTTGCTTTTGAATAGTAGTTCTAGATTCTAGAGTTTGAATCTAAATAATCTGGTGTTATGCTCTTATTGGTTCGTTTCTCCTGCTGTGATTTTTGATAAGTAGTTATTGATCATTGTTTCCTCCCACCTGATATTATTTTTGGTATTTTCATCTGTTGCAATTAGGTTTTGGTTAAGCATTCTCCAGCTGAGGATGTGTTTTATTTTAATTAGATTTTTAATCATTTCTGTGATTATGTTATCCATGATTTGCTCATTATATTCTTGTATTCATTTTGTCTTGTTATTGAGTACTGGTTTGATGTTAATTTTTGATGTTGTAAACCCTATAGTGGCATCTTTTGCTAATTGGTCTACTTTGTCATTTTCAGAATTGTTGTTGTGGGCTTTGACTTTTTTAAAGGATATATTAAGTTTTTGTTGTTTTATAATATATACAATTGTGTTGATTAAGTTGTTGTTTTTGAGTGTTCTCAGTGTATAATGATTGTTTCAAGCTTTGTTAATTGTATTAAGTACTGCTTGACTGTCTGTACAGATTATAGTTTTGCTATGTGCTGGTACTGTTAGGAGAAATATTACAATTACTGCTAGTTCTGCTCTGGTTGATAAAGGAAATTTGCTGATTGTGCCTTGGAAGAAGATGTTAGAAATTTGTAATATGTGCCAGCCAAAGCCTATTCTGAGGTCTGTGTCCATTGATCCATTTGTGTATACTGTTATTGTTTTAACCCCACTTAGTTTGTGTCTTATTTTTGCTGGTTTATTGAGAGCATCTTTTTATGTATTTATGTATTTGTTGATTGTTTCTTTGTATAATTTGGTTTGGTTATTTTCAAGTTGTGGTTGTGATGAAAGGTTTATTGATTGAAACTTGTCAGTTCTTATGTTGTCAATACTTGTTGATGTAATTCTGATTTGGTGGCAAAGTTTATTGTTTGGTGTGTTTCTTGAGCCTGTTTTACTTTTGTGTACTGGAATGTTGATGAGGCTATTTTTTTTCTTGCTAAATATGTACTCTCCTGGTTTTTCCGTCATATTAATTGAGCATCCTTTGTATTCTTGTAAGGGTGAATAGTTGTTGACTTTGATGTAATGTTGTAGTTTGACTGTGTTATTGGTGATTGTTTTTTTTCTTCCCTATAATATTTCCAGTTGTGGAGAATGTTGCTATCTATTTTATTTCTTTGTTAGAAAGCTCAATTGCAAGTTTATAATTTGATTTTTTGTAATTTCTTTTCTGTTGTCTTTCTTGAATTGTTGTTATTATAGTTTGGTTGTTTTGGATTTCACAAAACCAGTTAGGTTTTCTACAGTTGGGTTTTTTATTAGGAGGTGTTATTTCTACCTATGCTAGCATTTGTAATTCTGAATAATTTGTGATTTGATTTAAAAACATAATTTGGTTTTTGGCGAGTTTCTTTCTATATTTGTTGTATCAGGTTGGGTCTGTGATTTCTTCTATTGTTGTGTTGACTTCTTTAAGGGTTATTATTATATTTGTCATTCCTGTGAAACTGTGTTGTCTGAGGAGAAAAATTATATCATGTGTGAAGTCATGTCCTTGTGTAAGGAAGGTGGTCTTCAGATGTTCACTTGTAATTGATTTTGTTAACCACCATCTGTTTTGTAGTTCTTGTAGGTGTATATTGATGATTCTGTTAGTAATGTCCTGTTTGTTGATTTTCTTATGCCAGTTGTTGGCTTGCAGGAGAAGTTGCTTATCCCATATGTGAAAAAACCCATATTCTAGTGGGTTGAAAAAAGTGAAGTTGGGTGCTGTTGTTGCCATGTTTAATTTATATTTGTAAGTTTTGTTAAGTGTTTTCATTAGTCTATTACTTTGTTGTTCTGTAATGATAATATCAGAAAAAAGGTATATAATTGATGGTGTCCAGACTTTGTTATGTAGGTATCTGATTTGTTTGTCTGTTGCCATCTTCCATGTAATTGTTTTGGCAAAGTTGGTTGTTTTTTCCTATATGAGTTGTTGTTAATATGCTTTTGTACCTTTGTTTTCTAGGTATATTTCTAGAATTCTTGCTGCTTGGTTTGGTTTTAAGGTCGTAATTGGCTAGTCTTGTATAAAGATTTGTGTTTATGCTTGGTTTTTTTTTGTTGAGAATGATAAGGTTAGATTTACTTCCATTTATGTTGATATCATTAATGTTAAAGAAATCTGTGCAGGAATTACAAATTTGCTGCAGTTTTTCCTTACTATCGGCAATAAGCATTGTGTCATCCATGTATGCAATACATGAGATATGTTGAAGTAGTGTTTTTGGTTGTGCTGTGATTTTCATGTGGGTTTTGGTTTTGAGGATATATCTTTTGTTTTCTGCTGCTATTTTTGTGAGGAATGAGTCATAGTATATTATCCAAAGCAGTAGTGATATTGTATCTTCTTGATTGATTTTGTCTTCTATTTCATATTGCGGTGATAGGCCAAAGGAGATTAGAATTTGGTTTTGTCAATGATCACAAATGTTTATGATGAGTTGTGTGATTATTTTGGGATACTTTATTCTATGGAATATTAGTTATAGGTGTGGGATGGATACTGAGTCAAAGGCCTTTGCCATATCTAAACTTAGGATCCATGTTTCTTTTGTGTGTTGCTTTGCATCATCTTGAATTGCTCTAAGTATTTGTATAGGTTCTTGTGTGCTGCATCTGGGAAGTGCTGCCCAGTTATGTGGTAATAGTATTTGGTATTGTTGAATCATTTTGGAAAGTCTATTTGTGATAATTTTTGTGAAGATTTTTCTTGTTGTCTCTAGTAGCGTGATTGGTCTGATTATATTAATATTGCTTTCCCATGGTTTGGGTTTGGGAATTGGATATATGTTTCCTATTTTCCATTCATTGGGGACTTGTCCTTGTGAGAGGATGTTGTTAAATAGATCTGTAATGTAAAGGAGAGATTCTTTGATTAACTTTTTGAAGACAATGTATGGAATTCCTGTTGGTCCTGATGCTGTTTTTGCTGTGAATTTATCATCTAGTTTAAAACTATGGTTTTGGATTATATCATATGCAAGATTAAAAATACAATATAAAGATCATCGAATATTATTAGTCTACGAGATTTTTTCATCGATGTTAGGCTAAGCTTCAGAATTATCGTTATTCTATCTTAGAGAAAAATAATAGTCGTTAGAAAATAAATTTTATTATTAAATCATGCAATAGCAATGAATAAGTTTCACGTAGCCGTCTTAAAATTGGTATTATTAGACTGAAGTAAGTGAAAGTATCTTGAATGGTGCAAAACTTATAATAATAATCTGGGTTATACGAATAAGCCTTATATGAAATTATATAATACTAGCTTTGAGGCACCAGCAAACAAAATTTAAGAAACAGAAAAATAATTCATTTTTAAATTTTTAAATATTAAAAAGCATATAACATTCCAGTTTGTATAAAATTACGATGACTTTATATTACCTATTCTAATTTCATTTTAATCTTGTTAAAGCTTTTTATCATAATCCTCTTTAATTAGTCTGCTTGCCCTCCATGCGACCATGGCTGTAGGAGCATTGGTATTGCCACTCGGAACCATTGGAAAGATCGAGGCATCAACAACTCGAAGGTTTTTTGTTCCGTAAACCTGGAGACGATGATCGACAACTCCTCCCTGAGATGCAGGTGCCATTTTTACGGTTCCGCATGGGTGAAATGATGTGAATGTCTAGCGGAAAAAAAAAACTAAATAAATATCAAATTGACAGCAATGAAATTTCTCTTGATTAAAATGTAATATAGGTGACACTCATTGTAAACCATTAATAGTGTCATATATACTATATCTAAACCTTTTTCTTTTTACATTACTCTTTGATAAATTAAATTAGAATTTTAATATACTGTTTGATCGAAATTACCTTTTCGCGAATATACCGTTCCCAATCTTCATCAGTCATCTCTCCATCTTTACCACTACTGTACTTTCCAAGCTCATCATCAAACCCGACTTCTTCTACACCCCAAACAGTATTTAATGGAGGTTGTTTAAATATTTCACGTGCTAATTTAAGGGAGCTCATCATCCTATATAGGTCATCAGGCTTTGAGTAGTAATTAAGAAATATATTTGGTTGGGTAAATGGATCAGGACTACGTAGCTCCAGGTGACCAACACTTGAAGGAATATTAAGAACCATGCTTATTGCAAGGGATTCGAAATTTGCAGCAATGGATGGATCCACTATAGTCGGAGTTGCTATAAAAATCAAGTAATTCGCAATGTTACAATTGTATAAAACATCAAAGTTTATATACAGTAGATAAGTATTGCACATTGACTTACCATAAAGTTGCATGTCGGGCCGCTCATCCAGAAAATCTTCTTTGCTAGGAATTTTTCCTTCAACATTGCCCTTATGAAAGATTCCAATTTCGAATCCGCTACTCCAAGAATGAAGACGAGGAACACTTTCCTTTTCCGGGTTCATAACTTTGCCGCTAAGAAAACATAAAGGGTGATCCCAAAGATTACGTCCAACTGGCAATTCTTTGCGAATTTTAATATTATTTGCCTCTAAATTCTCCTTCGGGCCTATACCAGAAAGCATCAGGATCTTTTGTCAAAGAGGAATGCCTATGAGGTGAGATCTCCATGAACAAATAAAAAAGCAGATTCAATGATAATTTATTATCACCTGGGGGCTATTAATCGTACCGCCACAAAGAATCACTTCGCCTTTTGGGGCAATAAAAGCATTGTGCACTCCACCGTCATAAAAATACCTTACGCCAATCGCAACATTCTCATCTTTCTTTTCTTCATCCCAGATAATGTTCAACGCATGAGCATGAGATTTAACATTTACAGCTACAAACTTTCCGACTTCATCGGGTAATCCGTAGGGAGGACCGAGTGGTTTTGATTCAGGATAAATTTCTACTTTTTTCAGTGCATCCACCAAATAGCCGTCTGCCAGTGAAAAACGCTTTCCGTCTTTTATCGTGTGCTGTATTATATTTTTGGATCATGTTAGAAAATCTCATGACATTAATTAATGACATGACATCTAATAATTACCTGATGTCCGCCTACTCCATTTTGCCTAACACCGTTGAAATCTTCGTTGTAAGGAATGCCAAGATTTTTTGCAACCTCAACAACATCCGATAATATTTTATAAATATTCTTTGGATTATCTTGCACATGAAGCAAACCATTGAAACCGTGATACTTTTTAAACTCCTCGCTAGGATTTTCACGTGCATTATTCTCAACTGCTTTGAATGCTTTACAAATAAACAAGAAATACATTTCCGGAACAGGTAATGTACATGATATAAGAATAGTGTAATGTATTATTTAATTCAAACAAATAAGTATAATACCTTCAAGACAATGTTCCCAATCCCAAATTCTATATTCGGGACCTTGTTCTGCCCAAAGTTCATAATCCTTCTTTTGACCTCGTCTAAAAAATTTTATTAAATACAATAATTGTTTAAACATAATTTATGATATAAAACTCTTACATATAGATCATTCCATTCACAGAACTACAACCTCCCCAGATCTTAGCACGCGGATAAACGAAGCCTTTGTTTAATACTTCTTTTGTGGGGTCAACCGTACCGGGCATCGTTTGAGCTTCGGTGTAATATCCCCAGTCGGCCTCTTTTGTTCGCCAAATCTAATTATACAATAAAATGAATATAACAATAGTAATCATTTAATTAACTGTATTCACATGGATGAACCATTTATTAAACGACACTTGCTAAAGAATATGTGCCCGGTAAACGCATCCTATCATTGACTTGTGTAGCCGGTGGGCCAGCCTCCAATACCAAAATATTAACATGAGGAATATTATGAATCAGCTCTCTTGCTAATACACATCCTGCTGTACCGGCTCCTACAATGATAAAATCATAAATTTCATCAATCTTTGAAAATGTTTCGCGTCGATCTCGCTCATAAACGCTTTTTGACCAAAGGTCACGAATATCCGCATCAAATTTTAATTCTTTAATTAATTCGGGATCTATTGTCCCATTGGTTTCCTTAGTTCGGCTCTCTTTGAAGGATGGTGCTTTTTTTGAATTTTCCATTCGTGATGTGATTAAGAAAAGCTCCAAGACATAATGAATAGTTTCCCTATATATAATCTATAGCAACTCGAAAAAATAGATAGAGCCAGATACATTTATGAGTCATAGTGTTTTGATTTTTCTGATTATTGTACAGTATTGGAAAAGTAATTTTTTCATTGAAATGTTTTGCTTGTGATGGATAAATTAAATAATTAAATAATTTTATGCCAGTTGTATTTTTCGATTATTTGCTATATGATTTGACAGTCTTTTTTTCTTATTGTATTGATACTTCTAACAATTAGATTAGAACCGGTTTCAGGACCGGTTCCAGTTCTAGACCTGCAGTTATTAGGATCGGTGTAACATCTTTATGCATATAATTTTTACACCATAATACTTGTAGATGGTAATCGAATTCAGATCTTTAATATTGGCTTTTAAATATTTGAACGTACTAACGTCAATATCCTGTGGTTAAATCCATATATCTTTGTTATTTGCCACGTAAAGCATTATACAGTAAAATGAGTTTTAATTGTATTTTTATTCTTCACTATTGCAGATGGAAAGTTGGTCCGGGATAATTTCGGTATTTGTTTTTTAATATCATATTAAATAAAGTTTAAGGTATTAATAATCAAACTTTATAGCGAGTAAATTAAGTCCAGGACATTTTGGCAAATTTATTAATAATATAAAATAATGATTGTGATCGTGTAAATTATCAGCTTTATAGTTCGTAAAGATCCTTTACGTATTGCTATTTCATAAATTATGTAAAAAAAAATGTTTTTTACAGCATATTTGTCATTTTTTTGTTTGTTTCATAAAATCATTTGAAATAAATTTGATTGATTTTTGTTACAGATAATAAGTTATTTGCTTCGTAATTGTAATAGTTGTTAACTTTTATAGTTCACCAGAATATTTTCGTTGTTTGTTTAATAAAATCATATTAAATGAGTTCAATTGTACCGCAACAACTTTATCGAGAGTAAGTTAAACCAGGGCTATTTTCGCTATTTTTTTGCAAAACGAGTTTTAATTGTATTTTTATTATTCATCATTGTAAATTGTAAGTCAAATCCAAGAAATTTTTTATTTTTTATGTAAAATCATATTAATCTAATTTTTAATTGTATCAGAATTTAAGAACACATTGTCAAACACAAACGTCTCATTACCATAAACTTTTGCCCACTTGATTTAACGATTACAAGAACTTTGCGAGTATTAGTGATAGACTCGCCGATCCACCGTTACAATATATTTTATAATTGTAATCAAAAATTTTTTTTCTGATAGAAGTTGCATTATATCTATTATAAATGTCTAGTTGTATTGGCAAAGATTTATCAAAAATAAACTAGGTTCTCAAGTAAACGCTATCTACGAATACTGCTATAAATGCTATCTACGAACACTGCTATAAATGCTATCATCTACATAATAACTGTCCAATTAATTCGTGCTATTCTCGCTATTCCGGGATTTTCGAAATTACAAAATCACGACGATTTGAATTATCGTTTATCGTACCGTTTAAAATACTTTGCATGCACTTCTCAATCTATAATTAACGCATAAAGAAAAATTCGAGGGATTCTAAGTAATCATTTTGCAAATTGTTTCATAACCGTAATTAAGAAATAGCTGTTGCTGTATATTCAAAGTAAAAGTACACTTACTGTTTCTATAATTTTATTTTACAAAATGTATTAGGGTTATAATATAATGTTATCGAAAAATTTTTTTTTTGTAACTTACTATTCAAATAATCGTATTTACTTCCCCACATTATTTTACTCGATTACAAATAATCGTATTTACTTCCCCACATTATTTTACTCGATTACAAATAATCGTATTTACTTCCCCACATTATTTTACTCGATTACAACGATATTTTTTTGTCCTATGATAGCTTCGTCAGAATGATCGCATGAGTCATTAAATAATCTCCACAAATGAGTTTATTCCAGAAACTCCAATGCTAATTGTAATTGATAATTTCTTTCCTTCATAACTAAATAAATGAAATTCAATTGAAGCTCAGCATGGTCGAATGCTAAATAAACACTAGTGTTCTTAATGAGAATAGTAAGTTCCCTCCTCCATATTGTTGTGGGCTCTCCGGCAAGCCCACACTACTTGTCGCTTCTTCTGTTCACAATAAGGTAAGTTTCTTTAACTCTTGAGGCGTGTTTCCGATTTGGCCATTCTCTCACTTTAACTTCTCTACCGACTAGCCTAGAATCCTTCCAATGCCAATTCCCTTAGGAAACTCTCAGTTCTCTCTTGTAGTCGCATAGCTATAGATGGGGGCGTAATTGGATATAATAGTAACAGCATAATTTTGCATTATTTGTTCAAATTGATTATCATTTAATTTGTGCTCAGTATAATTTAATTCTTCGCGTGCATTTGTCACATAATAAGAATATAATTTTGCCATATTTGATATCTTCTCAACTGTTAGTCTTAAAAAAAAAAAAAGTTAAATATTGTTAAAAAATAAATCAAATAAAAATTTATTACTTATTTCATCTTTTTTGTGTCATCCAATTCAAAATAGAAAAAACTCTTTCGCAATCACCACTGTGTGGAGTAATTGCCAAAAGATGTAATGCAAGTCTTTGTAAATAATGTTTTGATTGCTTGCATCCAATCCACCAAGTTTGTGGAGTTACTATTGTTTTTTCAAATTTCGTATTATAAGGTAATTTAAATGCATTATAATTGCGTATTTGTGCAACTAGAATTGATGCTCTATTTGAACCACCTTCTAAAAGTTTCCAAATTTCTAAGGCTTTTTTTAAAACCTTATAAAAGATTTCTGGAATTAAACCTTTGCCACAGTACTTTGGATGTAGAAAATAGACTAAAAGATAAAAATCAGTATCAAATTCTTGCCATTGTTTGTTGTAATATATAATGCATTATTTTCTAAATTCAATACATTCAGAAGTATCTTTAAGTAATAATAAATTAATTGCTGTTGCTATTTGAATTAAAGCTAAAAAAACATCAGCCATAGATGTTGAGGTGTATTCAATCATTTTATCGCATTTTTAACTGATAATAAAATTTTAGCTAAAGACTCAACATTTGCCCAAAAATTCCTATTATTTGTTAAAATATGTAACTTGGAATTCATAATATTTAGATTGTTTTCAAGCATCTAAATAATAAAAAATTAATAATAATATAATAAATTTTCAAAAAAATTTAAAATACTTACATTTTTTATTATATTTTCTAATCGAAGCAAAGATATACAACTAAGGATTCTAATAATTCTCTTCGATTCTATATTCGATTCTCAAGTTTATATTAAATTTAATAAGTGGGGTATACCCCATCATCATTTTTAATAGTGTTCCAAACCTCATATGATTCTGTTCGATTCTATTCGATTCCAATTTTCAGAACCATATGTATAACAATCCCAAGCTGAACTTCATTTTGTTTTCACTGAACTTTTAAGCCCACCTCCAGTAATTAAAGATTCAACAATTTCTTTGCATAATTTAGCTCCAGATTGATATTATTTGTGAAAATATGAAACGAATAGTTGACATTGTGATAAAGTTATCTTTGCAAAATTAATTTTTTTAATAATATCAGTGCAAATCAATTGAACATGATATGCGATACATTTAATTGGAAGTATATATGAATATTTTAAATTCACTAATGATTTTGCAAGTTGCATTGTTTTAATTCCATCTGATACTATTGCTCCAAATTTTTCAAATCCAATTTCATTAAGAACCTTTTCAATTTTGCTTGCTATAAAAGTTCCAGTATGTGAATAACTCAAAAAATCTTGAATTGAATGAACATATTGTTGTCATTCTGGTATAGTAATAAAAAATGCAAAATATGAGTAACCTCTATTATTTGTCCAACTATCTAAAACTAAAGTTAATTTTTCTTGTTGTTGCAATTGACTTTACATTAAAATAGTAACACGTGCAGTTTCTAAATTAATCCAATCACTAGTCGAAATGGATTTATTTGGCATAATGCCACTCGTCAATCATTCATCAAAAAAGTATATAATTTAGTTAATCAAAATTATATAACTTTTATCTTTGGCTATAAAGTGGTGTATAATTTATTCGACACATAAATGGTATACTTTTTTTAAACCTCATTTTGAAGAAGTTAATATTTCAACAGTAAAATAGATAATTTATTTTTTGCGCCAAATATA